TGCCCAAGCTGGTGAGTGCCATGGCGTCAGCCTAGCTCACAGCAACCTCAAACTCCTGGGCTCAAGCAATCCTCCTGCTGTTAGGGACCGACCTTCCACAGCCCCACCGGACAGAAAAGCAGAGACATCGAGGATGCAATCACACAAGAGGAGGTTTATTTTCTGGCTAGCCAGGGTCCAAGCCCCAGAGCACCAACGCAGTGGCCACTCTCACAGGCAAGGACCCCGACCGGAACAACGGCATGCCTTTTATCCCCATGGTGCACAAGCTGCGCACAAGTCGACTACGCATGGATCATGCGTTGACCTTTAAAATGATTGGTTGCCCACTATTGCCTTTGAAATAATTGGTGGGTTGGTTGCCCTATTGCCTGATAGGCCAGTTGCCCGTGCTTCAATGACCTCATCCCATAATTCCCCTTACAGGGGTGTAGCAAGCAAGCAATGACCAGAAGCAAAGGTTTGCAGTTAGCTCATTGCCCCACCCAAGTGAATTCTCGACAAGTAGAAGAATTCCTCTGCCCTTCCTCTGTCTACAAATTCCTCTGCCCTACACTGCCTCAGACTCCAAGTAGCTGGGATACAGCATGTACACCAATGCCCAGCTAATTTTTCTATATATATTAGTTGGCCAATTAATTTCTTTCTATTTATAGTAGAGACAGGGTCTCGCTCTTGCTCAGGCTAGTTTCAAACTCCTGACCTTGAGCAATCCGCCTGCCTCGGCCTCCCAGAGTGCTAGAATTACAGGCGTGAGCTACCGAGCCCAGCCATGATGATCCTATTTCGTTTTTATCACTTAAGTGTTTTGTCAGATAGAGTATCCATTTAGGGTTTCTGGAGTTATGTGTTATCATATGGAAGTGGAGAGATGTCTCACTGTATGCAGGAAATGACTCCTCCAGGGCCTGCAGATTAAAAGATTAGGAAAGAAAACATTTTGTAGTTCACTCAGCAAGGCCTGTCTCAGTCTCTTTCTCATTGGGATTTATAGATATGTTTACAAGATGGTAGGCTAGTTTTTTCTTTAATGTTTTCTAAAGTTGTTATTATTACACAATTAGAAATGGTAACAAATGAAAATATATCTAAGAGCATACTGTTTTCCATCCTTCCATATCCAATACCATGTCTGAGAGAGAACTTTTTAATAGTCTGTTTTTAGTTCTCTGGTTTCCGTTACAATTTTAGGTAAAGTGCTCTTTTGTCTTTCCTGATTTATTTCATTTATGGCACTAACCATCGACTTCCCAATTTGAACAGTGACAATTTTCTTCATTTGTATTATAACTCTTTGCTTTTTCCTAACGTAGATATTTATTTTATTTCAAATTTTTTGGCTTTTTGACTTTTTAAACTTTAAATAATTGTTAAATCTCTCTACATTCTCTTTTGACAGGATGTCTTCAAGCTTCATTTTATATTAATAATATAAGACTACGAATTTTCTTTCTCCTTTCTCTACCTTTTATCCTCCCTTCCTTATTGTTACCTGTATCACTGCAGTTTCTACTTTTACATTGTCAGTATTACTAATATTTGCCTTCTTTCTTGCAAACACAATTGTGGTTGACCACAGGATGACTCTAAATTTTGAAAACCAACACACAGCACTTACCTTATCAAGACTATGTAAATATTGTTCGGTGCTGGTTTAAATAGTGTGTTAGATTTTGTGTCTTTCTGTAACTGATGCAGTATAAAATCACATGGGCCGGTCTAAGGAGTGTTTCTAGCATTAAGGTCAATTAGAATAGACTTCTTTTTTCTTTTTTTTTTTTTTCTTTAAAACTGAGTCTTGCTCTGTTGACCAGGCTAGAGTACCATGGCGTCAGCCTAGCTCACAGCAACCTCAAACTCCTGGGCTCAAGCAATCCTACTTCCTCAGCCTCCTGAGTAGCTGGGACTATAGGCATGCACCACCATGCCTGGCTAATTTGTTCTATTTTTATTTGCCTGGCTAATTTTTTTCCTAGAGACAAGGAAATTTTTTAGTAGAGACAAGGTGTCACTCTTGCTTAGGCTTGTCTTGAAATCCTGACCTCCAGCAATCCTCCCACCTTGGCCTCCCAAGGTGCTAGGATTATAAGTGTGAGCCACCACGCCTGGCCAGACTTTTCTGTACTCTATATGTATTACTAAATTCATGCCACATTACATTTTTTTTTATATTTAGACCACAGTTCACTTGTACATGTAAAACTTATTTTCCTGGAGTTTCTAATTGCCATTTTTCTTTAATTGCATTATTTGCTTTTATAATATCCCCTTCCCCTTACACAGACACCTTTAAATTGTACTTTTATTTGTATTGTCTTTTTTTCTTTTATGGAGACCTCTCTCGGAGTCTTTAGTTTTTCTTTGTTAATCTGGACTGATTATTCTTTAGGCATACTTTGATGCAATTATCTTAGGATTTCATATATTACTTTCCTGGAATCCACTATCTCTTGGATTCTAGGACTTCCTTTTTCTTGATTTATTCCCTTATTTTGCTTGAGTATATTCTTAATTGTTTGATTTTAAAAGTACATAATAGATAAATTCTCTGAGATCTGACATATCTGCATATGTATTTGTTCTACCTTCACAGAAATTGATAGTTGATGGGTATAGAATTCTAGGTTGAACTATTCATTTTCATCAAGCATTCCTTGTGGCTGATGAAAAGTCTGATGCCAATCTAATCCTCATTATTTTTAGGTGGCTTGTCTTATTCTCTTTGAAACCTTATGGGATTTCTTCTTGATTAGTAGTGTTTTGAAATCTTAGAAGCACATATCTGGTAGATTCTTTTTGCCAGTCAATGGCTCTTTCAATCCTAACATTCTTTTTTTCTTCAGTTTTACAAAATTTTCTTCTAGATATTTCTTTGATAAATTCTTCCCCTTATTTTTCTGTTTTCTCTTTCTTAGACTGTTTTTACTCTCATGTTGGACTTTATGTTTTGGTTCTAAGGGTCTCTTATTTTTGCTTTCCTATTTTCAGTCTCTGAGGTTTTTTTTCTATTTATTGGAATTTTTTTTTTTATTTCAGAGTATTACAGGGGTATAAACACTTTGGTTACATAAATTGCCTTTGTATCACCCAAATTAGAACTACAGTCATGCCCCTCCCCCAGACAGCATGCACACTGCACCCATTAGGTGTGGATTTACCCATCCCTTCCTCCCCTCACCCACCTGCCTGACACCCTATGAATGTTACTTCCCCAATGTGCACATTAATGTTGATCGATTAGTACCAATTTAATGGTGAGTACATGTGATGTTTATTTTTCCATTCTTGTGATACTTCACTTAGAAGAATGGGCTCCAGCTCCATCCAGGATGATACAATAGGTAGTTCACTATTTTTTATGGCTGAGTGGCTAAGTAGTACTCCATGGTATAATATAAAAATTTTCTTGATTTAATTTTTAGTGTTTCTATTAAACTTTATATCTATCTCTAAAAGTTTCTATAAACTTGTTCTTGGATTGTTCCTCTTTCATAGCATACTTTTCTGGTTTTATGGCTACAATACATTTGTATCTCTCATATTACACTAGAGTTTTCGTTTGGTTTAGCTCAGTTTTGTCATTATTGTTGTGTTAGAAAGTTTGATACTTGTCCCAGAGACCAAATCAGTGAGAATGAAGAATGAGGAAAAGTGGTTTGAGGAAAAGAAAAGAGAAGTTTATTAATTTTCCAATAAATGAAGGAGGGTGCCAGACTAGGGTCTCAAAAGACCCCATCTGGCCTTTAAGCAGAAATATAGGGCTTTTTAAAGGGGGATTTTCAGAGGTTAGGCTTGGGTCTATGTGACCAGTGTCACATGGTGTGGCTTTGGGCTATTGTTGTTTAAGTGTAGCTGGTGGTTTTGGTTGACCTTATCTCCAGCGAATAGGATTTCATGATCTCTGGACAATTCTATTGAGCCATCTCCTGTGGTTAAAAATACTGGCCTTGGTCAGGAAGGCAGGTTTTAATTCCCATAAAGGGTGTGGGTTTTAATGAGAGAAATTGTAAAACATTTTGCCCTTTCTCAGACTTTTACCTCTGTGACAGTTTTTTACCTTCTCCCTGTTTCTTGTTTTATTTTATTCCTTTGTGATCAATGTTCCAGTTTATTTTGGTCAGTTATTCTCTTTAATGTTGCAGATTCTTTTCATATGCTACAGAGTCTTGGTTTTCTGTTCAGATTTAAGAGAAAAGGAAGGGTAGCTGATTGAGGTTTTCTCTGTTATTAATATAGAACCCTTTTCCAGCTGTGTTTCTTTCCTGAGAAGGAATTCTGTAAGAAAACTCTTGGAGGAACATGACTGGGATTCACTTTAGGGTCAGCCGATGGGAAGCTAACTTTCAGGCTGTAGCCCCCCAAGTCTCAGAATGAGTTTAGTCAATTCTTTGTAACATACTGTATACTTTTCTTCTTCAGTCTAAGTGCCAGATACTGTCCTGTAAGAATGCCAGGTGCTACATTTGCCTACTTATAAATCTTTGATCAATACCTCTTTTGTAGCCTTACTTCTCAGCCAAACTCAAATGAGAATAACTTTACATTTTGAAGTTTCTGACCCTTAATAAATCAATAAATGAGAACTAGGCTTACTGAAGGTAGGATCAGAGCCTCATGTATGTGGATATATTAAATATTATATTAGATATATAAAATTTCACATTTCCAGCACACTGATTCTGAAATGGTACGAATAGGACAGCTGTCCTATTGTTTTAATGGTTATAGCTGTTTCATACTTCTTTGACTTCTGGTTATTTTTGTGCAGCAGCTTTTTTTGTTGGAGTTCATTCTTGGCCTTGCCTAGTCATTCTTCTTGCTTGTCTGTACTGTGTTGTACATAATGTAAGCATTATTATGTTAATCAATCAAAGATTTCCTTTCTATTTACTTATTTTTTGCCAGAGATAAACTTGAAAATATTAGAATATTCAGGGTGAAATGTCAAACCAGAAATTTCCTTTTATAATCTATTCTGCTTATTTTCCTCCTGGTTTTAGGAGCTGGGAATCCCATGTGCAAAATTGCAATTGTTTTGGGAAGAACTACAAATATTTCTGTCTCCAGGTAATAAAACATTCCTTCCTTCCTTCCTTCCTTCCTTCCTTCCTTCTTTCCATCCTTCTTCTCCCCCCTCGCCCCCCCCCCTTTTTTTGAAATAGAGTCTGGCTCTGTCACTCAGGCTGGCATACGGTGGCATCATGATAGCTCACAGCAGCCTCAAATTCCTGGGCTCAAGTGATCCTCCTGCCTCATTATCCTGAGTAGTTGAAATTTTAGGCATGCACCACCATGCCTAGCTAGATTTTTTGATTTTTTTGTAGAGATGGGGTCTCTATATATTGCCCAGGCTGGTCTCTAACTCCTGGCCTCAAGCAATCCTCCCACCTTGGCCTTCCAAAATGCTAGGATTACAGGTGTGAGCCACCATGCTTACCCTATAAAACAAATCTGATTGAGAAATCTATATAGGAATAAGAGTCAATCTTTCTCCCTACCTTCCTAATTTACTTAAAATGGACTTAAAATGCACAAATCATAATAATGTAAAATATGTTGTGAGGTTAAATGTCACATTTGTATTTCACTAGTATTTTGCTAAGAGATATATTTGGAAAACATTTTAGGGAGTGTTACTGTACATTCTTCACTGTGGAATTTCCAGCATTAGAAAATGTTGCTAAATCATCAAAGTTGTTTGGATCAGATTGTTAGACATAAAATGTTTCAGAACTGTCTGTAATAATAAAGTAATTAGATAGTTAGATAAAAGGCAATAATCTTGTAATGTTTCACTTTGTATGTCAGTTCCCAATTATCATTGTTGAGCAATGAGAAACTTCAAACAACTTCACTTATTTTCAAATCATTTTTTTTTGTTCTGATCACAGCCTGCATCAGACTATGCTTAATGTATGTCTTTTACATAGTTTCCATTCCAGTCATCACTTCTTGTATGATTGCATGATAATAACAACAACAAAAAGATGATTGGGATTGGGACTTTGCCTGAATCTGTTTTATTTTTCTGCTAAGCAACTAACTTTTCCTAACACTGTTGTTTTTTCTTTTTTGACTAGACACAAACAACACAGCATAGTTCTTGTTCCTATCAACACACCTGGAGTAGAAATAATAAGGCCTCTGTCAGTTTTTGGCTATATGGGTAAGTACTCAATAAATATGCCCATGCATTAGCAAGGAAGGAGACTAGAATATGCAGTAACATTGAAGGGAATAGATAGCATTTTAATATAGGAGATGCATTCTTAGAAATCTCATTGGTTCTGACTACTATCTTAATGTAAATGCCAGTGGAGTTCAGAATAGAGCAAATAAAAAGAGGTAGTGCAGCATTCTACCTCATTTCCTTTACTTTTCAGGAAAGGGCAGATTGTATTTAAGGAACAGCAACTCCTCCAGTCTTTTCTCTGTCGTCCATGATAATGAATTAATGAAATAGATATAGATAAATTAATCTAGGTAATCTACAATGAAATTTGTTTTTATCTCCAAGTTTAGCTTTCTTATTCAGTCAACCTATAATAACTGTTAATAAGCAATGAGTTTTGACTTACTTGAGTACAGACTTTTCCTTCCTTCTGCCTTTGAGTGGAATTCTAAGAAGGCAAGGATTCTTTTCTTTCCTGCCACCTACCCTAGGCACATGTCTATTGTGTCCATGCTATTCAAGTCATCCACTCCGCAAGTATTTATTGAGCACTGAGTAGTACTAGGTGCTTGAAAAGCAGTAGTGAACAGAATAGACTAAGATTCTTGCCTTCATGGAGGTTACATGCTAGTGAAGGAGTCAGGCAATAACTACGAACATGTAAAGGAATAAATTATATAGCATGTTAGGTGGTAAATGCTTTGAAAAAGTTAATTGAATTTCAGGTTCTGTGGTGCCTCTGGCTTTCTCTATATCATTGAATATGACTAATGAATACGTTCAAGTGGCAGATACAAGACTTGCAGTTTTGTAAAATATTTGATATCCTCACCTTCTGTAGGATACAGCTGTAAGATGTACCCACAAATTAAGCTTAAGTGGCAAGATAGGATGAACAAGCTCACTGGAGCAAATTGCACAAGAGAAATTGGTGGGTTGCAGATCTATGGCCTGAAAGACACCAAAAATGTATTTATAATATTGTACAGCTGCAAATAGCATCCACTGCAGAGCCTACATTTGAATTTTCAGTATGGAAAATTCACCAGCATGTTTCCAATGCCCTATGTCCAAGGCCAAAAGAAACAGCATGGAGAAGGTTAATTATTAATCTCTATTCTGACAGGAAAAGGGTGTAGAGTCAGCATGAGATTATCTCTAGAATTTGGCGAGGAGAAAGGGTGATACAAAGATGAAAGTGTGAATGTGTTCCCAGGCTCAGTGATTCAAACGTCAGCATTTTCAAGAAGCAGACATAGGGTAGAACAAGTATAGACTGAAAGTAAACCTACCCGAAGGTCCAGTCTCGGCATACTCACAACAGGAACGCTGAGCCTGCTCTTTCCCTTCAGGCAGTCCCTGGGCATATTCAGGCATCGGTTTCCATGATAAAAATAAGAAATTCAACTTACACTACTTGTTTTCAATTTTTGAAACATAACTTTTTTTTCCAATCAAAATTTTCTTTTCCCAAGCAAAACTTTTTTGGAATTTGGAATCCCATACATAAAATATTTTAAGGTAGAAGCAATCATAAAACAATACTAAAATAGTCTGGGTGGAGCTGTGGAGCCCAGTCGTTCTTTTTCTTAGCCCTACAACTTCAGAGAATGAATTGGAAACCCTCTGGATCAAATGATTTCTAAAATCTCTCCAACTTGAACAGTTGGTGAGTTTTCTGGGATGCTGGGTGCTAGGGATTCTGGGCTGAGGTCTACCTAAGAATGTTCTTGACAAAGGAGTCTTTTACATCCCACTTTCTTTGAGTAATTATACTTTCGCAGACTAATTAATTACATGTGACTTTTTTGGTCAACTCAGATTGCTCTTTAAAATTTTATTTTTTATTTTATAGATAATTTTCATGGAGGACATTTTGAGATCCATTTTAATCAAGTACGAGTGCCTGCCACCAATATAATACTCGGTGAGATAAATTTGGACAAATGATTCACCAGTATTGTATATTCATATTTTCAGGTCTAAAGCTGGAAAAGATATGCAGCCTACCTTAATTTAGATACTCTCCTTTCTTATTTACTCCGTTTATCAAGGAAGAGTTTTCCATTTTGCAGATTTTCCTATATGGAATAGTAAGGTTTTATTTTAGTGTTGGATGTGGATTTGTATATTACATTAATTGAAAACATGACTGAATATATGAATTATACAATTCAGAGCAACATACTTTTTCCTAAAACAGGATCTGTAGGCCTCTACTTGTTTTAAGAAAACCTAAGTACTTACTGAATTCAAGTCTTATGTACAAGTTAGAAGCATGAATAACTCTGAACACTATATGCCTGGAATGACTCTATGCTCTTGCTTGTTAGAATTCTATGCAGCCTTCAAAGAACCTCTCAAATACTACCTTCAGGAATGCTTTTGTTTCTCACCCTATTCACACAACAAGCCACTGATACCTGCCGTGCCCTAAGGTTACAAGACAAATGGAAAATCTCTTCCTCTTCTGCCATTCTTTGTTTCTTTCTATAGCCCTTATCCTTGCCCCCTTCTTCCGGATTTTAAACTCTCAGTGTTGGGACTGTGTCTTATCCGCCTTTGTAACTATTACACTAATAAAGTAGCTCAAGAGACAGTTCTTACATTTGATTGAAATATTTAATGATGGTGGTTTTTAAAACAGAAATCAAAATTCTCATAAATACATAATGAAGCTCATTACAGAACTGACTTTTTTCTCATCAGCATGCCATTTTTATTGAGGGCAGTTCACTATTTTCCCAGGATTTATGTGAATAACAAAAGGAATGGGCTGGACCATCTTCATGTTTCCCTTTCTCATAGGTGAAGGTAGGGGATTTGAAATTTCCCAAGGCCGCCTTGGACCTGGCAGAATCCACCACTGTATGAGAACGGTCGGTTTGGCAGAACGCGCTTTGCAGATCATGTGTGAACGGGCATCGCAAAGGGTAGCCTTTGGGAAGAAACTGTATGCACATGTAAGGATGATTACTTGTTTGAGTTTTGTATGGCTCAGTGTACTACACTAACCTTGAACAAAACCATTACTTAGTGAGAGAAAGTTTTCCTCTATATGTACAACTGATTCTTTTCCATGAAGTATATTTATGTCTGTATTTAAATATAGTCTGATGAGAGGTATTTATCTTAGTGAAAGAATAAATAACTTCTAAAGCGCTTCAACAGCTTAGCACACAAGAGTGTGGACAATTCCTTCAACTTTCTCAGATTCTCATTCTCTAGACAACTTGGTACCTTAGAGCTCTCTGTGGACATAAAGAGGCTGTCATAAGGAAGAGGGATTTATTTGCCTTGTCTTTTGGTGTCCTAGAAGGAATTAGAACAGATAGTGTAAAGATATAGGAAAACCACCCAAAATACAGGGAAAGGAGGAACATCTTGTTAGAGAGATTTAAAAATGGAATAGACTGCCTTGGGATGAATTGAGTTCCCTATCGCTGGAGAAATCCAAGTAGAATTGGGGCCATGGTGGGATGTTCATGATTTTTTGAATGTTCATCTATAAATTGTATACTGCTGAATCTGTTGTTTACCAAGCACTGTAAATATAGTTACATGTGGGCAATATAATCAAAATTAGGAAATATAGATTGAGAGGAAAAACAAGGTATCATTTTAGATTTCCTTGGAAAGCCTTTTACAATGAAGAGGGATATTCAAATCATCCCCCTAAATTTTAAAAAGTCAAGAAAGGGTAGGCAAAGGGGCTTACACTTGTAATCAAAGCTCTTTGGGAGGCCAAGGCAGGAGGAGTACTTGAGGCCAGGAATTTAAGACCAGCCTGGGTGACATGGTAAGACTATTTCTACAAAAAAATTTTAAAAATAGCTGGATGTGGTGGCATGTGCCTGTAGTCCCAGCTACGCAGGAGACTGAGGCAGGAGGATCGTTTGAGCCCAGGAGTTCAAAGCTGCAGTCAGCTGTGATGATGCCACTACACTCCTGCCTGGGTGACAGAGTGAGACCCTGTCTCAAATAAATAAATGAATGAGTGAATGAAAGAATGAAGGCAAGAAGAATTGTTATTAAATATTTAATATTTATAATTGCTCACATGTTAGTGTGAGGTCAAACTTGTGATAGAATTGTGTTTGTGTTTGTTGGACATGTATATTTTAGTACATTGTTCTCCTTGTAAACACATTTATGACCACCTTATAAAATTTTACAGTATAAATATACTGTACCTTAAATTCTTATATGCTATGTTTGCTTATCGTGAAGTATTATTTGGCATATATATGATTTATTCCTATCATTGTTTTTATGAAACAATACAGCCTGCTCTATGACACCACGCATGGGACTGATTTGTGGGGAACCTCTTTAGTATATGGTGAGGGCAAGGGTTCTGCTGTTGGATGGGGAGAGGTGAGATAGTGTGACCTTCTAGGGCCATGGGTACAGCCCCTGACACTCCTGAAGAGGGACTGAAGAGTTGCTCATGGCACTGGCCATTACTTCTTCCCCTCTTCTCTGTTCAAGCTTGTCATGCAAACCCTGGAGCAGGGTGAAGGGAGGACATAGTACAGCGGGCAGACAGGCATCTTGAATGCACAAAAGCACACTGCCTAGGCGCTGCTTTCATGACTGCTATTTTAATACTATACTAGAGAAACATTTCCCTCCTGCCTTTTAATGTGTCATACAGAGCAAGCCTGGGCTTTTAAAAAACATACCCTTCTTCACTAGAAACTTCTCACATCTGGCACAAATGAAATCATTTGGCAGAAGCAAAAAGATATGTATGAACATGTCATAAACAAGAATATGGGCCAGCTTTTTTTTTCCCCCTTCCAATTTGTGAAAGGAATATTCCATTTCCCTGAATTTGGAGACTCCTTCCAGCTGCATTCTAAATTTTTCCAGGCTCTAATGCAAAAAGTTCTCAATCAAAGTTCTGGCTTAGTAAATAAATCTGGCAGTTCCCTGGAACACTTAGTTTCTACCCACTCAATGCTTTCCAGCAAATCTAGCGATCTGTGGAGACCCAGCTGAGAACACCTCCTTTATTCTAAAGCTGATAAGTAAAGCATTTTGATTCTGTTCATGAAGTTATACCCAGTTTTACAGCCACAAAAAAGTGTTCATTGATTGCTGGCAGCTTGTTTGGAATTGTTAATTCAGAGCCATGTTTTAACCTCTAGGACAGTGCCGTCCAATGGAAATATACCGTGAGCCATAATGTTACTTTTATTTTATTTTATTTTATTTTATTTTATTTTATTTTATTTTATTTTATTTTATTTTATTTTATTTTATTTTATTTTTTGAGACAGAGTCTCACTCTATTGCCCAGGCTAGAGTAAGTGCCGTGGCGTCAGCCTGCCTCACAACAACCTCAAACTCCTAGGCTCAAGCAATCCTCCTGTCTCAGCCTCCCGAGTAGCGGGGACTACAGGCATGCACCACCATGCCCAGCTAATTTTTTCTATATATTTTTAGTTGGCCAATTAATTTCTTTCTATTTCTAGTAGAGACGGGGTCTCACTCTTGCTCAGGCTGGTTTCGAATTCCTGACCTTGAGTGATCCACTCGCCTCGAACTCCCAGAGTGCTAGGATTACAGGCGTGAGCCACCGCTCCTGGCCCACAGTGTAATTTTATTTTATTTTTTTTTTGTATTTTGGCATATTATGGGGGTACAGATTTTAAGGTTTCAATAAATGCCCTTCCCCCCCACAAGTCTGAGTTTCCAGCATGACCATCCCCCAGATGGTGCACATCTCACTCATTATATATGTATATACTCACCCCACCACACGTGCCCAATACCCTATTACTGTAGTACCTATGTGTTCACTCAGGTGCTGCTCAGTTAATACCAGTTTGCTGGAGAGTATATGTGGTGCTTGTTTTTCCATTCACAATGTAATTTTAAATTTTCTAGTAGCAACATTAAAAAAAAATAAAAAGAAACAGATTAAATTAATTTGAATGTATTTTATTTAATCTAGTACATTCAAAATCTTATCATTTCAACATGAAATCAATATAAAAATATTACTAATGAATATATTTTACATTCTTTTACTATTCAAAATCAGTATATTTTACACTTGCAGTACATCTCAGTTAAGCATAGGCATATTTCAAATGCCCAGCAGCCACATGTGATTAGTGGCTATCATGGCTGTCACTACTCTAGAGAAACTCTAATCAAATATTCCTTGTTGAAGAACAAAGATGACCAAGTATAAAAATGGCTGTGGAAAGTTAATGTGGCTTGAATAAAAGCACTGTAATTGTCTACTGGTCTGACTCATCTTAACAAAAATTATTGTCCATGTAAACACCAATTCTATGTTTAGAATTGAGAATCAAAATACCCATTACAGTTAACCAGAAGCATTTAATATGTCCCCTGGGTTACAATGCTGAATTCTGAATGTTTGGTTACTTGTGGGATTTATGGTGGGTTTTGTTTCCGTATTCTTCTGTTTACCTCCTCTCTTTTCTTCCAAGTTCTGAAAAACAGAGGAAACTCACAGAATATTCTGTAAGCTAAAAGAGAAGCAAGTGCCAATTTGTTTTCATTAAACTTTCTGTTTTGAGGTAATTGTAGAGTCACATTTAAATATAAGAAATAACAGATCTCTTGTACCCTTTACGCAGTTTTCCCCAATGGTAACATCTTGCAAAACAGTAGCACAATAGTAGAACCAGGATGTTCTGATATTGACTATCATTGATACAGTCGAATACAGAACATTTCCATCACTACAGGGATCCTTCATGTTGCCTTTTATAGCCACACCCACTTTGCTCCCACCCCATTTCCTCATTAACTTCTGGCAACCACTAATGTGTTCTTCATTTTATGATTTTGTCATTCCAAGAATGGAATCTTACTGTATGTAAACTTTTAGGATTGGCTTTTTCCCTCAGCTTAATTCTTTAGAGATTCATCAGATTGTACGTATCCTTAGTTGGTTTCTTTTCATTGTCATGCAGTATTCCAGTACGGATGTACTACAGTTTGTTTAACTGTTTATCTGTTGAGGGACATCTGGGTTGTTTCCAGTTGTGGGCTATTACAAATAAAGCTGCAATAAACAAACACTTTGTATAGGTTTTTGTGTGAACCTAAGTTTTCATTTCTCTGAGAGAAATGCCCAAGAGTATAATTACTAGGTCATACGGTAGTTGCATATTTAGTTTTTTAAGAAACCACCAAACTCTCATTCTCATCAACTGTGAATGAGTGATCTAGTCTTTCCACATCCCTTCCAGAACTTGGTTGTGTCACTGTTTTTTTATTTTAGCCATTCCGATAGGTTTGTGGTGACATCATATTGTTGGTTTAATTTATATTACCCTAATGGCAAATCATGCTGAACATCTTTTTTTAGCTTATTTTCTCTTCAGTTCATGTCTTTTGTCTGTGTTCTGTTTACTGTTGAATTTTGTGAGTTCTTTATATATTCTAGATATTACCCTTTGTCAGCTATGTGGTTTGCAAATATTTTCTCCCGTTCTGTAGCTTATCTTTTCATCCTCTTAACAGCGTCTTTCACAAGATAAAAGTATTTAATTTTAATGAACTCTAATTTGTCAATTTTTGCTGTATAGATCATGCTATTAGAATCAAGTCTAAGAACACTTTGCCCAGTCCCATCTCCAGACTTTCTTCTATAATTTATATCTAAAAATTTTACATTTGAGTCTGCAATACATTTCAAAATAATATAGGTATGAGACTTAGATAAAGGTGGGGGGTTTTTTGGTGTTTTTTATTGTTGTTGTTGTTGTTTGCCTATGTATGTCCAATTGCTCCAGCAACATTTGTTGAAAAGGCTATCTTTCCTCCATTAAATTGCTTTTGTGCCCTTCTCAAAAATCAGTCAGGCATATTTGCGTAGATATTTTTCTGGGTTATCTGTACTAATTATCTATGTGTCTGTCTCTCTGCCAATTCCACCATCTTGATTACTGTAGTTATATAATTAGTCTTAAAATAAGCTTGACTGATTCCTCTACTTTAGTCTTTTCTCTCAAAAGTTTTTCAGCTATTCTAGTTCCTTTGCCTTCTCATATAATTTTAATTTTGGTTATATATGCAAAAATATCTTCCTGGGATTTTGATAGGAATCGTGTTAAACCTATATGTCAGTTTGGGAGGAATCGATATCTATTGATATCAATTAGAGTTTTCTATTCCATGAACATGTTATGTCTCTCCATTTAGTTAGTTTTTCTTGGTTTCTTTCATCATCTATGTATAGCTTTCAGGATACAAGTCTTTTATGTAAGTATTTCAGTTTTTTGAGCAATTATAAATGGTATTATGTTTTTAATTTTATTGTCCATGTATCCATTATGAGCATATAGAAATATGGTTTATTTTGTGTTTATCTTACATCCTGTGTTAGTTTTTGTGTTTATCTTATGTCCTGTGACCTTGTTGAACATATTAGTTCCAGAAGTTTTTTGTAGATAATGTCATCTGCAAATAAGGGACTGTATTATTTCCTCCTTTCTAATATGTATGCCTTTGATTTCCTTTTCTTGCCGCATGGCATTAGCTAGAACTTCCAGCACTATGTTGAATAAGAGTGATGAGAGCTGACATCCTTACCTTGTTCCCAATGTTAGGGGAACATTAATTATGTTAGTTATAGGTTTATTATAAATGTTCTTTATCAAGTTGACTTTCACTTGACAACTAGTGTTCTGAGTTTTTATCCTGAATGAGTAATGAATTTTGACAGATGCTTTTTCTGCATTAATTTTTAAGACCATGTAATTTTTTTTCTTTACCTTATTATTATTGTGGAGTATATTGATTCTGCTTTATCTGATCGTTTCTAAATATGGAACAAATTTTGCATCATTGGAATAATCCCACTTTGTCATGGTATATAATTCTTTTTATATATTGCTGAATAAGGATTTTTGGATCTGTATTCATGAGGGATATTGATCTCTAGCTTTGTTTTGGCTTGCTTTTGTACTGTCTTTATTTGGTTTGGTATCAGGGTAACACTAGCTTTACAAAATAATCTTGAAAGTGTTCCACTTCTTTTACTTTCTGAAAGAGATTATCTAGTTTTGGCTTTAATTCTTCTTTAAACATTTGGTAGAGTTCTCTAGTGAGATTTAGGGGAAGGGAGTGTTAAATTTTAAATTCAATTTCCTTAATAGTTCTGGGGCTCTTCAATTTAGCTATTTTATATTGGACGAGTTGTGGTAGTTTGTGGTAGTTTTTGTCCATTTTGTCTAAGTCTGTCAACTTCATGTGTTTGGAGTTGTTCACAGTATTAGTCTATTGATGTCTGCAGGGTGTGCAGTCATATCAACATGTTTTTCATTCTTGATATTAGTAATTCATGTCTCCTTTTTCTTTGTCAGTCTTGCCAGAGGTCTGTCAATTATACTGATTTTTAAAAGAATAAATTAATGTATAAAATTATATAATAATTGATATGTTAGGTCTTAACATTAACAAGATCTTTGTTTCATTAATTTTCACTGTTTTTTTGTTTTCAATTTCATTTCCTTCTGCTCTTTATTATTTCCTTGTGCTTTATTTGGGTTTATTTTACTCTTCTTTTTCTAGGTTCTTGAGGTGGGTGGGGAGCACAGATTATTGATTTGAGACTTTTCCTCTTATCTAATGTAAGCATTTAGTGCCAATTTCCCTCTCAGCACTTGTTAATCTTTGTCCCAGAAATTTAGAAATGTTGTATTTTCATGTTCATTCAGGTCCATGTATTTCTTAATTTCCCTTGAGACTCCTCTTTGATCCATGGATTATTTAGAAGTGTGTCACTTAATTTCCAAGTGGTTTGGAAATTTTCCTATATCTTTTTTTTATTTCTAGTTTAATCTCATTGTCATCACTGAACAAATTCTGTATTAATTTAATACTTTTAAATTTGTTGAGGTTTGTTTTAAGGCCCAGAATAATGAGAAGACAATGAGTACAATGACCTTCCTGATGATCCACTTCCAATTAACGAGTAGTGAATATAATTTCTCTTCTTTATGATTTTTTAATAGCATTTTCTTTTCCCTAGATTACTTTATTATAAGAATACAGTATGTATAATAAACAAAATATGTGTTAATCAACTTTTAATGTTATTGGTAAGATTTCTTGTCAGCAGTGAAGATTTGGGGGACTCAAAAGTTATACTCAGACTTTTGACTATGTGGGACATTGGTACTCCTAATGCCCACATTGTTCAAGAGTCAATTGCAGTAAGAAAATAGACAATCCAGTTAAAAAATGGGCAAAAGACATGAATAGACATGTCACCAAAGAGGAGATAGAGATGGCAAATAAGCACCTCAAAGGGGATCAACATCATTAGCCATTAGGGAGATGCAATTTAAAACCCTGATAAGATATCTCTGTACACTGTTAAAATGACTAAATAAAGTAGTACTGATGATACCAAGTGCCAAAAGTTTAGGGAGCAACTGGAACTCTCATACATTACTGGTAGGAATGCAAAGCACCAGCTACTCAGGAAAACTGTTTGACAGCTTCACATAAACATTTACCACTGACCCAACAATTCCACTCCTGGTGTCTGCTTTAAAAAATGAAAATGTGTGTCCATACCACAGCCTATATACAAATGTATACAGAAGCTCTATTAATAATCAAAAACACAACACAAATGTCCTTCAATAAGTAAATGGATAAACAATCTGTGATATATCCCTCCAGTGGAATACTACTCAGCAATAAAAAAGAATGAATAGTTTGAACATGGAACAATATGGATGCAATTCAAAGGCATTACACTGACTGAAAGATGCCAGTCTTAAAAGAATATATGCCATATTGCTGGGTGTTTTGGTGCACACTTATAGTCCCAGCTACTTGGGAGACATGAGGTGGGAGGATCACTTGAGCCCAGGAGTTTGAGTCTAGCCTGGGCGACAAGCAAGACTCCATCTCTAAAAACAAAACAAAACAAAACAAACAAACAAAACCAAAATAATACAAGCTATATTATTCAACTTATATGATATTCTGGTAAGGCAAAACTTTGGTGATGGCCAAACCCATCAATGGTTGCCAAAAGTTAGCAATGTGAGAAGGGTGTAACTAAAAAGAGGCAGCACCAGAGAGTTTTGTGGGGATATGGAACAGTTCTGTGCCCTGATTGTGGTTATAACAATGTACACATGTGTTAAAATTCATAGAACCAAATAAAATGGTCATTTTTAGTAAATAACAGTAACAGCATAACAAAGGACTGTTGGATCATCCCCACACTGAAATTGTGCTGAGTCTTACCTAGTTTGTCTGTGAGTAGCTGCCCTACCATACATTTAGCCGAGTTTCGATGAGAGCATACGATTGGCATTCAGAAGGGCCAGTGAGGAGTCTTTGGCAACAAGATAGCTGCTCATACCAGCTGTCTTGACCTTGGACATTAAGATATCCAAAATAAATGATTTTCCTGAGCTAATAAAATTCCTTCCTAAAATCTTCTAATTTTTACTGTAACATTCCACAGGTATGTGGCTAGGCCGGTAGATATCAAATGAATTAACTCTTCCATTTTTTAAAATATGTAGAGTAAGGCTTGTGAACAATCCTTAGCCTAGGGACTGTGTTCACTGAACAGGCCGTGTTACATGTGGATATCAGATGTGCCTTAGCTCCTCCTTCCTTCTGCTCCCCTACAGGAGGCTGTGGCTCACTGGATTGCTGAAAGCCGCATTGCCATTGAGGAGATCCGCTTGTTGACCCTGAAAGCCGCCCACAGCATAGACACTCTGGGCAGTGCTAGCGCTAAGAAGGAGGTGAGACCCCCTTCCTCCCTTGGACCACCAATTGCTGAGCCCCTTTCAGTTCCCCCACCCATTGGGCATTTCGCTTTTCACGGTACCTTGGTGGCACTCAGAATATTTAAGCCCCATGTGATTTTGGCTTACAGATTATAAATGTCTGTCACTTGCTGGTTTTCCTTTCACTAGGCTGCTATCGGGAATGATTTTCAGGATGCAGAATATCTTCAGCATTTGTGAGATATGGCAACAAGGAGCAGGGAAATCTTAGGCTTTACACAGGCCTGGAAATAGTTGTGCCCACTATACCACTTACTGCTAGCCTCATGCCCGTGGGCAAAGTACCTAACTTTTCTGCCTTATGGCCTAGGGTTCTTGCGAAGAGTAACCAAGATGATGTATGTAGAATGCTCAGCATGATGCTGCCACATAGCGAATGTTTCATAAAAGGCACTGCTGGTCCCCTGCCCTCTTAGGTTTCTGGCTTATATGGAATAAGGACATAACTGTTTAATTCTAAAAGCCCATAAAATTGCTAAAAGAAAACTGATTGTGGAACAAAGACGCTTGAACTTTTTTTATGATCCTATAGTGTTGAGTGTGATTTATCAGCTGCCTGACATTCTCTTGGAAATGAGGCCAATTATAAATAAATAACATGTTTGGAAGCAATATCTCTTTCCAGAGGATCTGTATTGATTGAAATATGGTCATTAACTGCATTACAGCAGGATCTCTTTGTTGTCTTTCATCAAAGATCCTGTTTTAGTGGTGACTTGGGTGTGGGAAAATTTTTGTCTGGTTTCACAAAGAAAATACAGATTATATCAAATTCTGCCACATTGTGTGTAGTCTAAGAAAGAGGTATTCTTTTCATATCTTGCTTATGTAGATTGCAATGATCAAAGTGGCTGCCCCACGGGCCGTCTGCAAAATTATAGACCGGGCCATCCAGGTGTGTGGAGGTGCTGGCGTTTCCCAAGATTATCCTCTGGCTAACATGTGAGTAGATGTCATTTAAGAACCATCTACATTTGAAAGCTGGGCGCGGTGGCTAATGCCTGTAATCTTAGCATTTTGGGAGGCTGAGGTGGGAGGATCACTTGAGGCCAGGAGTTCAAGACCAATCTGAGCAAGAGCAAGATCCCGTCTCTACAAAAAATGAAAAAAATTAGCCAGGTGTGATGGAAGCACCTCTAGTCCCAGCTACTCGGAGGAGCTGAGACAGGAAGATCACTTGAGCCCCAGGAGTTTGAGGTTGCAGTGAGCTATGGCGATGCCACTGTACTCTAGCCTGGGTGACAGAAGGAGACCCTGTCTCAGAAAAAACAAACAAACAAATAAAAAAATCTACATTTGATAGGCTTAGAGTTTTAAAAAAATCTATAGATAAAAGATACTACCTTACTTTAAAGTGTAACTGAAGGCTAATGAAGTGTTTTAAGTACTTTAATATAGAGTTCAGCACCAAGAATAGTTGCTGTTATGATTATAATCATCACTTCACTCTATTATGTTAGCTTTTACACTGAGGGTTCCAGAGTATAGATGCAGCATGGGGTTCTGCTCTGAAACAGAAAGGAGGGAGTGGTGCAGAGAAGCCAAAGGGGCCCACAGCCAGGCTGTGTGCACTTAGGACAGTTTACCACCCACACAAGGAGGCTGCAGCTGAATTCACAGCAGCACATACCAGTGACTATATTATATCCAGATTCTGATTACTGGGGGACAAGAAGGAACATTCTCTACTCCCCAGCCTTCCATCTCCACACATAGTCACAGTGTCACCTCGTGTATCATACTGGAGATGGAGCCTCATGCCTCATCAATTTTTAAGCTTAAGAAAGAACTAAATATATAGTATCAAACCATTCACTGCCTGTAGCTTACCTAAGAGATCTCTAAATTCTAGCAACTTCTGGTAACCTGTAGCAAACCAAGAATGAGATTAACCCCACTGTACTCTGCCATTTAAGTTTCCCAAGTTGGAATTTTAAAATAGCATTTTAGCCGGGTGCAGTGGCTCACGCCGATAATCCTAGCACTCTGGGAGGCCAAGGCAGGAGGATTGCTTGAGGTTAGGAGTTTGAGACCAGCCTGAGCAAGAGTGAGACCCCATATCTACTAAAAATAGAAAAACATAGCTGGGTGTGGTGGCACATGACTGTAGTCCCAGCTACTTGAGAGCTGAGGCAGGAGGATCACTTGAGCCCAGGAGTTTGAGGTTGCTGTGAGCTAGGCTGGCACCACGGCACTCTAGCCCGGGCAACAGAGTGAGACTCTGTCTCAAAAAATATAAATAAAATAGCATTTCAGAAGCCTCTTGGCTTATTTTCCTTGTACTTTCTCCTACTTTGATGGGATTTCACGAATTAATATAGTCTTGGCTTAGAATCAGAGTGACTGATGTTATCATGTTCCTCTTTGATAGCTCCCGTGATCCCTGCTCTCTTTTTGTTTTTTCAGGTATGCCCTCACTAGAACTTTGCGCTTAGCAGATGGGCCTGATGAAGTCCACCTCTCAGCCATTGCTAAGATGGAACTGCGAGACCAGGCCAGAGGCCTGACAGCCAAGATGTGAGGAGAGTGACACCGCCATATCCCTCAGGCCAAAACTCTCATTCGTACAAACTTACTGGACTCCAACATTTGACTCTCATATTTTTGCAGGAGTTTGAGCACAGGGTTAATTTCTTGTGATAAAGATTTTAGCATCTATTTTGATCCGTGGGTTTTATAATTTCAAGGATTGCACAGGTTTAAATTAAACAAGAAATTCTATCACTGTTGTCATTCAGTCTAGTGCCCAAGTGGTTTAGCATTTACTTTTTAAATATAACATGTAAAGAGATCATGAAGTAAACTGAAGAGCTAAATCATAGGCATAAAAATATTTTCACTTTTTGATTTTCAGGAATTTTCCATGTAAGTAAATAATTCTGGGAATATTTCATCATTTACTTTGAAAACAATGGAATGGGACCTCTTTTTAATACTTTTTAAGGGTTAGTTTAATACTTTGTACTAATATTTGCAATGGAGAGAAGCATGACTGATGGGATTGTTTTAGAATGCATATGTTTGTATGCCTCTTCATAATTCAATAGGAAGCACTGATGCATAAAATCTGAATGCAGTTTAAAGTTTACTGGAAAACATGACATCCTATGAGAAAATGTTATTAAGAACCATTTCAACTGTTTATAATTTTTTTTTTTTAAACAGTCTCACTTTGTTGCCCAGGCTAGAGTGAGTGCCGTGGCATCAGCCTAGCTCACAGCAACCTCAAACTCCTGGGCTCAAGCAATCCTTCTGCCTCAGCCTCCCAAGTGGCTGGGACTACAGGCATGGGCCACCATGCCCAGCTAATTTTTTCTATATATACTATTTGGCCAATTAATTTCTTTCTATTTATAGTAGAGACGGGTCTCGCTCTTGCTCAGGTTGGTTTCGAACTCCTGACCTCGAGCAATCCGCCCGCCTCGGCCTCCCAGAGAGCTAGGATTACAGGCGTGAGCCACCGCGCCAGGCTTGAACTTTTAGTTTTTAAAAATTTTAATTTAAATATCAATTGTCAACTGAGTTATTAGAAAACTTTTAAGTATGCTTGGAATACTTTGGGTATGTGAATCTACTTTTTCAGCTATAACTTTTATGAAATCTAAATACAGAGCAAGTACTTTGACAATTTAGCATTCAACAAAAAAATAAAGTATAAAATACATGAGTATTGGCAATTCTTTGAAATGTGTTGAGGTTCTATTTATGGTATAATATAGGGTTAATTTTTGTAAATGTTTCATATATGTCTAAAAATATGCATTTTGTAGTTTTTCAGTACAGAATTCTATATATGACCATTAAATGAAGCTTGTTAATTGTATTATTCAAATCTTCAATATCCTTAATAATTTTTTGCATATGTCTGTCTAGTCTCACAATCACAGAGATGCATTAAAATCTTTTACTATGAAAAAAATAAAAATAAATGTTGATTGTTGATTTTTAAAACATAAATAAAAATAAAACAAAATACATTGGTATTTTGTACCAAAATTTGGTAATTTTGAAGACTTAACATGAAAAAAATGCAACATATCTCATTAATACTTTTTATATTGATTACACATTAAAATTATATTTTAGATATATTGAATTAAATAACATATTAAGATTGATTTTATCTGTTCCTTGTTACCTTTTTATATGGATACCACAGGAGTACTACCTTGTAATGTCTTTAATTTTAAAATAAAGTATTTTTATTCCTAAAAATGTTTAACTTTATTAGAAAGTATATACATCGCATGATTTTTTGATGTCCAGAGACTCTTTCAATCATGACTTAAATTTTTTCCTGGGGTGGGGGTGAAGGTGGGGAGCAGGAATTTGACAAAGGCCTGGGCTCTGACCCTTGGTGAGTTGTGCGGGCCTTGTAAACATTTACCATTACCTCTCTTCTTCTTTCTCCACATTGAGATTAACTTTTTATTCCTAGAGGACCCGTACCTACTCAGGATTTGTCCTGAGAATCACTGAAGCCATGTAGAAACATCCTGAAATGTGTGAAACACAATAAAGTATTTTGTAAAGTACCCTTGTTTAAAATGGATAAAACTTATAACCCAAACTATTAATTTTAGAATTTGTGATTTGGAAGAAATCAGGATTGTTTTTGAACAATCAGAGTGAAAGGCTATGTCTGGTACTTATAATTTTGTGGCAATTGGTTTCTCTGAGGACAGCTGGCTGAATTGGTTGCTGATTTGTTTTGATTAATCTATTGTCACATACCCGGCCATCCAGGTATAGCAAGTCACTCCATGTGATCCATACTTACCTTTCTCCTTACCCTGAATTTATTCAGAGAAAACTATGTTAAGAAGAACAGTAAGGATTGTTTTGAAAGAAAAAAAAGTCTCTGAAGGATAAAATGAGAAGATCAAGTCCAAGATCGCTGCCCCAGTCATGGGGAGTGAATGGACTGACTGTAAGTTCCTGAGCTTGAGGGCCGTTTCTAGGGCTGTGTCTCCTCAGGCTGTCACCAGGAGTCACTAAGCCTGGTACAGTCTGCCAGGTTTGCCATATGCTTGAAACCACATGATTTTAAAATGAGAAGTTGCCTTTTATAATAACCACATGGCAGGGAGAGGGGAGGGAGGAGCGAGCTCACCAGTTAGGGCTCTTGCCCTCAAGACCCCTCCAAGGTTGCCAAGCGGTCAGTGACCAAGGAGGAGGGACCTCAAGATTGCCAGACAGGCAAGACACCACAAGGCTCCATGCAAAAAGGTCATAGTCTTCCTCTAGCAACACTGTTAGGATGCACAAGGGGGTAGCTGTGCCTGTCCAGGGGAGTAGCCAGGTAAGGATCTCTGGTAGTTGACATTTTTAACTTTGAAAACACACAACAGAAGGTTGAGCTGATTATGGAGGAGTTGATTTCCTCATCAACATGTGGTTATTTATAAAGACATCCCCAAGGTAGGTCCGCACGTCACCTCAGCTATTCCCATACAACTGTGGTCCACTTATGTGTCATGGACATGCTTGTATTTCATCAAAGAAAACTAAAGTAGGTGAAAAGCAGCAAAGTCCAATATGGCATTTAGATGTTTTAATGGAAAAGTTGCACAAGGGTTGCCAAAGCCACTATTCTTTTTGTTCTTAAGCTACAGCAGTCTCTGGGAACTTCAGAAGTAAGGCGCTTTCTAAGGGATTTAAATTTATAAATTTCTTAAATAAATGATTTTATAGAATGAAATGTATTTAGGAAAATGTCTGCTATGAAAAATGTCGTATTTCCATCAAGCCAGGTCAGCTCGCCTGGCCTCTGTCACTGGTGCTAGATAATCCCTCCCTACCCAAGAGGCAGAGTAGGGGGTGGGGACAAGGTCAATGAGCAGGCCCCCTGTTAGCACTGCTGGCCTCTGTGTGTCTGCCACATGTCTTTCTCCACCGTTTGTTTTACCTGGATCACTGCAGTCATCTCCCAACTGGACTTCTGGTTTGTCCTCCCAGCATCCAGGGTGACCTTCTCAAAGGCTGCAGTGGCTTCCATCTCACTATTAATGGAATAAATCCAGGGTCCTTGCTTTGGCTAACAAACTTCCCTCTGAGCATGTCCCCTGACACCTGTCTGATCTCATCCCCCGGCTCACTCCTCCATGACCTCCTGGCTGCTGTTCCAGCCCATGAGCACATCCGGACCTCTGAGCCTGAGCTCTGATGTTTTCTCTGCCTGAAAGGTTCTGCTCTGAGATTTTCCAGATGCCTGCTCAAAAGTTGCCTTGTTAAATTATCCTTTCCTGACCATTGCTCTAAACTCGCACCACATACTTCGTCATTCTCTACCTGTTTATCTGCCTTTCTCACAGCACTCACCACCTGATAGATACATATACATTTGTTTATGGTCTGTCTGCTCACTAGAACGTGAGCCCCACTTTTCCCTCCTGTATTCACTTGTCTTTTTTTGTGTACTGTGTCTCCTTGGTCCCTGGGAGCATGTCTGACATCCAGCAGGCACTCAAAAAGAGTATCAGTGAATGAATGAATGTGCATGGATGCTCTCCTGATGCCTGGCTTGCAGCACAGCTTTGGTGAGAGGCAAAGCATTCATTTGTGGGTCTGCAAACAGGACAGAGCCGAAGCCTGAGCCCCACCCTGTTAACACAGATGTTGGGCCACAGACCCAGAATGGGTTACAGGTAGCTGGAGAAGACCTGGGCCTTAGAAAGGACATCAGTGTCCCAGCAGTGGGAGGTGCACAGCACTTGGGGCAGGTCAGTTGATATGATAGATGTTAAATGAGTATTTAACAATCCAGGGGAATGTGCACTTCATTTTTTTCTCCCGACGTGTAATCCAATCTAATCAGCTGGAGGACTGTGATCAGCTCTAGGCGTGGAGGGAAGTCGGGAAGAGAAAGTCTAAGAGAAACAAAACCACTTCTGGTGATTGTTAGAATTTTCCAATTTTCCGAATAAGCAGGATTCTGGGAAGTGTCCTCCCTTAACTCAGGGCAGACAAAGAGCATTTAGGGTTTATGATCCTGCCATGATATTTTTCTTTCTTTCTCGTTTTCAACACCTCTTTCTAATTGTGGCGATCACAAGTTTATTGTGAAGAAAACCCGTTCTAGTGTGAGAGTGTGGTTACAATAAGCTCTGTGAGACAAGGGCTTTCATCTGCCTTGCCTTTGCCCAAAAACTACGTGAACAAGTAAAGGGTGATTATTTATTCAGGAGCAGTGCCTCACTCTCAGGACGCCCTAAGTAAGTACTGGTCAAGTGGAGACCAGCTGCACAGACGGGGTCTGAGAGAATGCGTTTCCCCAGCCCTCCTTCACCACTGGGCCGATGGCTAACGCCACCCTGATGACGAGACTTCTGGTTCACTTTCGTATATGGGTAAACGTGGGGATTGCAGACGCCCCTCCCTCCACCATGTTCACCTGTCTGGCTTCAATTTCTACTGTTCTATTTCCCTATTCACTCCACACCAGCCACATTGACCTTGTGTTGTTTCTCCAATATCCCAGACATATTTCCTACCTCAGGGTCTTTGCACTTGAGTTTTTGTTTGCCTAAAAAGCTCTTCCCCCACTCCATGTCCTCAAGGCTTGCTCCTTTCCTACAAGTGCAACCTTCCGGGGATTGCTTCGTGACCATCCCCTCTGAATATCTACTCTCCCAACACACACGTGTGTGCCCGCACACATGTGCTTTATCATTTTTCTCTGCTTTGGTTTTCTTAGAACTTTTCACCATGTGACATACTAC